TATTTCAGCACCGTTTCCCGCTGCTACAGTGTGCAATCTGAATGCTTTCAAGTACAGCGAGCTCATTCAATACGAAGACATCAAAGAAGGGGTAGGTTAAAGTGTGTTTCAGGAAACTTTTCTTGCATTTTTCAATTTTCGTGTATTCCTTAGTGATGCATCCAAAAATATGAGATAACTGCAGCTAAGAGTTTACTAAACGAAGAGTGGGGAGAGATGCGATAATATTGCCACCAGAAAAACGTGGAATATTTCAAGCAAAGGAAAGGATTTTTTTCCAGCAACTGCTCGTGAAAGCTTCAGCGTGTTGAAACAACTTAGCCACTCCTTAGAGCTTGTTTCCAGCAAGGGTGGGCAATTTTACCGCATAAGAGCCCTCATGTACTTCCTTCATTATTTTTCTGTCATTACTTCCAGTAAGCACAAGCCTAAATTTCTATTCGCGTCTGTCGAGGCGTAATCTGCTTGATGGGAGCGTCAGTGAAATGGCACTACCTCACGTTGAGCACTTTGAAGCTTCTCCCCCCTCTCCCCCCCCCCCCATTCGACTTTTCCTTTGACGGAGTTATGAGTGCTAAAGCAGAGGCACGAAGGAATGCAATCACAATGCTCGAGATATCATTCCACTCTCGTTACCAGAACTGCTTTCTTTACCAGAACTGCTGCTTCTGAAGGCATGCTGTCAGCGGAACGAGTGTAAAGGCATTCCCTGCACTCCTTGAGAGCAGAAAGATATGGACAGTTCGCTTTTTATTGTTCGACCTTGTGTTGTCCACTTTACCCTCCCTAGTGCGAATCATATTCTGGAGGAATGTAGTTTTGCGAGCGGGATTCGTACCATGATGCCGAAGATAAGGAGTCCCAAAATTTGAAATTCCAATTTTAAGAGGAAATCAGGTTTCTATCAAGAACTGGATAATGCTTATTTTCTAGAAGTTTCAACCATGAATTGACAGAACTGCCATCATTGTATCCTAATACATATTTACAGTTCGATCATTGGGAAAGAGTCATAAACGCCAAGGAAATGAACGAAATGCTACGTAAAGACGAACAGGAGATGGAAACCGTTGATCTTCGCCAGTAAGTAATAGATTTTCATAAGTGTTGGAGCCGTGTACGTGTCTCAAAAATATAAGTCCATTTTTTTCTTAGATATCTTCGAAAAAATAATGTGAAGCATTTTTAAGGCACTCTCCTAGATGAGTAGGGACGAATCAGTCTTTTGGTGGATATAATAATAGAGCTGTTCGCTAGTCTGCAGATGGCCCTACTCTCTGAACAAGGGTGCTAGGCCCTCCTAACCGCTTTGCAAATGCCTTATTCCATCATTCGCATTCTGCGGGTGTCTGCGCCCTCTCATCTGTCATGTTCCCTCGCCTACCTTCTCTTCGCCATGCACAGTGTTTCATTGCCTTTGCTCACAGTGAAGAAGCTCTTGGATTTATACGTTTCGTCTAGCTCCATGGTTGTTTACTTCACCCGGTCCATTCGTACCCCTGCTTTCATATTCCGGAAAGGAACAGTTGTCGTCTCAAGGGTGGCAAAAGCTGAGGGGTTATCTTGAGATGTGATTGGAGGCGTTCTTCGCCCTTGTGGAATCTCAAGTACCGTAATTTAACTAGAAATACTCTTTGGTAGCCTTTACCTGGCTTTCGACCCGTGCGATCCGAATTCTTCATATTTTTATACTACCTTTCATTTCTTCCAGAAAACGCACGCCGTTGAATTTTCCAATCGACGAACGCGATATCAAAGGAGCCGTCTATCAGCCGATATTTGTTCGATGTACATGCTTGAATATGGAACAATGCGTACCGAATAGGAATCCTCTCGAGGTGCGTTTTTTACGCGAACTTTCGTCGTTGAAATTGACCACTGACTTTCCTTGGAAGCAGTCGGATACCATTCCTGAAAACAGCAACTTCACTGCTGTGCCTGGTCGAAGATGATCCTCTGTCGTCCATTATGAGCACTAATTCAGGTGAACGCTTCAGTATGCATGTGTTTTGAAGACGTAACTAGAGGACTAATATGGCCGTGTTACCCAACGACCGCATGGAGCGTTAAGGTCGGTGGAATGAAGTTTGAAAACTTTCTCTAGTGAGAGGTCTCTTCCCTACAATTAATTTTTCTTTCTTATTTTCTCCTCTCCTTTGTTGAGTGATAGGAATACAAGGCGCACACAGCTTTTTCGTTGAAACGATGCGGTCTTTTAGGCCCATTCAATGAATCCATCCATTTTCAAACACGTGCTCGAGGCCGCAAAGGAGAATCAAGTCACTAAAGACGCAAGCCTTGCCTTTGCCAGAGCATGTTCCATCCCACTTGCATGTCCATCAAGGTGTTCTTTATTTCGGTTTTCGAAGTTTCCTCTTCAGATTTTGCAAAGCATTCGAAGTTTTATGCTTTCTGCTTCAAATCCTTTCCATTTCATATTTGCTTTACATTCCTACTGGTTCACAAATATGGTCGTTTGTCACTAGAGTAGAGAATTCAAAAGATTCTTTTTGAAGGCGGATTTGCGATAAACAGACAGCTCATTAAGATTGAGGCTGGTGAGGGATGAAGAGAACAAGAAAACATGAGAAACGGAACAAAATCCGAGAAATGGCGAACCTTCCTAGCCTGTCGATTCCCACATTGATGTGACTCTCATCGTGCTGCCCTGTTCAACGCTATCGCTCTACCGCGCCGATAGGAGGGCCATGATCACCGCCGGGGAGCATATCCTCCGTGCCGGTCAGCAATCTTGGGGGTCCTCCTTCCCACTCTGTACATATACACTCTGTAGATTCCCCTTCTTCAATCTTCAACCTTATCGTGAAATCATCCTCCAACTCTAAAAATCTACAGATTTTGCGTTTTACTTGAATTACATCACAAGTGTATCTAGATTAAACAGTGTAGGACTTAATGTCCATTGTGCTGTTCTTCGGAATCTAGAGGTAGCGCTGTTTCTGGAGCTTTGACAAAGTTTTTCAAAAGCATTTTTTCAAGACAGCCTATATTTCGCTTGCAAAAGATTTAAAGGCAGAATTCACGATGGAAGCAGCAACCCATTTCAAATTAACTCCAGGAAATGGTGATGGTACACGAAAGAAGGAACCATGAGAATCAGGCCCAGAACCCGAGAAATGGCATCTCTTCCTTGCCCGTTGATTTGCGCATTGATGCGACTCTCATCGCTGTGCCCTCTTCAACACTACGCTCTCTCTGCTATTCCCCCGTATAGACGTGCGGGAGTGATAGGATGGTCGGGAAGCGGCCCCTGCCGACCGCGTCAACAATGAGCCATGCTAGGGCGCCGAGGACAAATCTGCCAATTGCCAAGTGCGCGTCAGTCCACACCCTCAGGAGGTCTACCGGTTTCTCAACTAGGTGAATTACTCCTTCCTCGACTTTCATTCTAATCGTGAATTCGTCCTTCAAGGAGCATTTCACGATCAGTAACGTAGATGCGTTCCCATCACTAGATTTTGAAAGAAATTATTGCCAGTGTAGAAAAAGGTAACGCAACAATGGGCACTGTTTTGAAAGTTTCTTTTTCTCGATGAAGTGGGTTTGCTGCGATCGAGGAAGATAACAGTCGCAGAGAGAAATAGCGAGAGAGCCAATGAGGCAAGAATTCGCAGACTTCCCACCACGTGAACCGTTGCATGGCGAGTGACATTGGTAATACACCAGATCAAGGTCCTACCGCCCTTGTCACCCACATTGTCGCGAAGTGTCGCTCGTAACTCTGCCTATGAGAATCCCGCTGTTTTATTCTGGGAGAGGATAACATCTCAACAGGAGGATGCTAAACGGAGTATGCCTTTAATTTCCAACAGCTTTGAAGTGCAAAATAGTGTCTCTTCCTTATTTCTTCTCTTGGATGTGATGTGTTCATGGATAAAGCAAAATGAAGAACTAGTACCACAACTTATTCCATCATAAAATGTTTTTATTTTCAATGAAGTCTTTCTTCTAGCGCAGATTAATCACTTTTAACCCCCATAAGTAATTTTGTGCACCCTTCGCTTTTTGTCATTCTCTCCTCCTTGGTGTTTTCTTGATGCTAGAATTTGCCGAAATTTTCTTTCTTCGATGGAAGTGCTATTCTCTCTGGTGCATAGCCACAGACACGACCTACACGCTTTAGATGTTGCATGTGTGTGAGTAAAAAAGTCACAGAAGCGAAGAAGCGCTATTCACACGTGAAATATCGGCTCACGATACTGCAACTATAATGCAGTGAGTAGGCAGGACATTCTTCCCTTACGTTCTTGCGGGTTGCTTTAGTGGTAACACCAGATTGGTCCCCCGGCAAGCGCCGGAACCTCCCTACCTTGCGTAAGCTTTCCCTTCTCCCTCCTCTCCTTACTCTCCCCTCGTTCTCCCTCTGCTCGCCGGCTACCACAGCATCACCTTGTGGAATGACCGAAAGTGTGCTAAGTGCGTGTTTATATAGCCGTTCTGGGTTATCACAATCATGCTTGTGCAAAACATTGATAGCGCAAATCCTGCGAGCTACCCAGATTTGTTGGCGGCTTGTTTATTCCGTTAGCTGCCTTATCACTCACTCACTTCATTTTGCGGACGGACACACGACATACATACATACATACACACACACACACATACAGACATACAAACCGACACACAAAGTTAGCGCTTTATATAATAGAAGGATAGTTGACTCCGATCGTTTACTAACTCGATGTAGGCTATACTTACGCTATGCTTGAAGACCTTCTCTTTCGAATGAGAGATAGATCCGTGGCTCATCCCAGCATGCGAGTTGATTTTATACGTAGAACATTTGTCATTTCACCTTTTTTTGCCAAATTTCTTGATATTTAATCTTTTTTGTTACTGGATGCATGCCTATCACTATGTATCTCATAGGCCTCAAAAACAATGAGCGGTTCTCTCACTTTAAAGTAGAATCGAAGGTTTTTCGACAATTCTTTGTCACGAAAATGAAATATAACCATGTTAATTGTAATTCAGGGCGAAATTAAATGGTGGAATCCGAACAACTACACGATTTATCCGGTAACAGAACCTCCAGCCACCATCATGACGGAGACAGAACAGGCTTTTGGTCTGTTGGTGGGTTGGAGTGCACCGGGTTTTCATTTCTTTGCTTTCATACCCGAATGTTAAGGACCTCAAGACAAAGTGGGCCATTACAACGCAGACTAAGGAAAATCTGATCTTTCTCGTGGCTGCTCTGCCACACGAGAAACTGAGACGGAATCTCTCCTACACTCTCAACGAGTTCGTGCTCCGTTGTTCTTTCAACAGCAAAGACTGCAACATGGAACGGTCAGTGGCTCCAGACGATCGTATTGACATCCAGCCCTCAACTTGTGTTTTAGTGATTTCAAGCTGCACATCGATCCTGAGTTCGGTAATTGCTACACCTTCAACTTCAACGATTCTGTCGAGCTGAAGAACAGTAGAGCAGGGCCTATGTACGGTAGGTGACATTTTGAATGTTCTGCTGCAGAATTTTCCAGCATATATTGGTTTTTAACAAAAACTCGCTCTCGGTCCTGAGTTGTGTCACATCAATGTGTATAACTGAAGAAAATTCAACAAAACCGGAGGTCAGGTCGGCTACTTTCCCCTGAAAAACCATAGTCTTATGTGATTCACAGAAGGCCTTCTGATGTTCTTGGTGCGTTAATACTTTTCTATGCTTTGTAAGCTGTCATTCGCCTATTTTTCATCCCGATTCTTCCCACCCGCAAACCACGCAGACGTTTCTTCAACTTTTGGAATACACAATGATGCTGACGGTTTTTTGGGAGATGAGCTTACAGTGTGATCAAATAAAAACTCGTCTTTTTCAGCTAGCACCCGATTGAGGATTCCCTAACTCCCTAATGTGGACACGGGTTGAGGCACTTGAAACGAACCATTCTCACTTCACATTTAGAATGGAATGAAATTCTCTCTGCGAAATTCAGGCGGAACGCTCCCACTCCTAAATCAAGTTCCATCGTCCATCAAAACTTCACGATAGTCTTACACCGACGGTGCCAAGGATCTACCCGGAATACATATAGTGCACAGCTTGGACAGACCGAGGTCCTCGACGGATCGTAGACTATTAAAGCGAGATCCAAACCACTGTCGTGAAGGGAACATGCATTATCTGGAGCTGCTATGTTATCAGTTAAAGACAAAGGTCGGGCTCCGGGGCGCTAGAGAGTAACGCATCACGCCATCCGTGCCTGGAGGTTGTATGTGGGTAGCTGCACACATTGCAGCAACTTCCCACCTTGAAAACCCCGTTAAGGCCCCGGGGCGTTCGGTTTCAATCCAGGGCCGCCTGGTCAATCCAGGACCGCCCACCTCCGGAAGTGGTGCGTGGCTGGCATAACGTGTGAAATCAGCTAGGTTGATTGCCGTATCAACCGATAGAACGACTGACATCTCCAGAAAACTTGTTTGTACGTGCCTCTTTCCCCAAGCCAGCCTCCTTCACTGCTAGTGGGAAAGAGGGTTTTGTTAACGGCCTTGTCGACGGTTTTTCTCAGTTTTTTCCACTGTCGTTCCACTTCGCATCTCTATACTCAGTTTCAATCGCCATAATACCCCCTTATTGAGCCCGACTTTTGCCTTTAAAGGCAAGATTCAGGATTAATTGATGGGTGATTCCACTCAAATGTGAAAGTAGGGATGGGAGGTGGACCGCCAGTGGAGAAAAAGGAAAGAAAATCGTGAAATACACAGGAAATACGAGCATTTTGCTCTATGCTGCGGAGAAGTTCAAAAGGCCAGGGAGATGAGAGATAATGTGAGCGCGGAGAGCGGTAGAGAAGTCCGAGAAGAGAGAGCATAGCAGATCAAAGCGACGCAGACAAGATATCGAACGGTGGGCGGACCATGTTAAGTTTGGTGGAGTCTGTTAGAAGTCCATGGCGCCTAGGGTCCTAGTGACGCGTTTCGATGTAGAAAGGTGGCGCTACCTTTGCACTTGCGTACCCAGCACTTCTAGCCATGGTAAGGGCTTCTTAAGGTGGGTCTGAGCCCAAACTTTGCCTTAATGGAGCGAAGAAGAAGAAACTTCAGGCTAGATCAATTATGGTAGGCTTCTGAGCTCGACTGAGATGACGGATGACGTCATATTCTTAAAACGGTGAGGGTGGTGCGGTGAACCCTGCTTCTGCTTGATTCACTTGTGCGGAATATCTGAGGAATATCTTACTTCTTCTGAGCACTTTGCCGCAAAATCCATCAAGGCAACTCTCTGTGCAACGAGTTTCGCGTCGTGATTTTGAAGCAGAAAAAGAGGCTTGGACTTCCAAAAGTAGAGCGTCAAACGTTTGGAAACTGCTCAACGTCGAAGGAAATAGTACTGTGTTTCTTGAATGCAAGAGAGAAAATTCAGGTGTATAACTGCATGACTAATTTCGTAGGCAGACATTCGAATTCGGATATAGCACAATGTGTTTGGGGAATTTTCTACGTAATTCCAACCAGGTTAACACTTTTTCTAGTTAACACTTCGAAGGGAGCCCGCTTCAAAAAAACGACTCGTAAGCCAAGACTTCTTGGGTTCGCTTAGATGATCGTGGGTCATACTGTCAATGAAATCACAGTGCTTGTTCTCAATGGCAGTAGACATCAGACACCTAAGACAGTCATTATACGTTTTTCTTCGCTCGTAATTATATGGAATCCCCATGGAGGATTGTCACAAGGTGTGCATTGTAAGTCATGGACACGTTGCTGCCGCCGCTGGAAATAGAACAAAAAGATAGACTAGGCGGCTACGCGCTTTGGCAGTCACTGGGCGCTCTTAGGAACATTTGAAATTTCATTAATACAACTTCTATTTGGAGTTTAAATGTACCACCGTCAGACAGGTAGAACTACGTTTGTAGCTTTTCCACATCTACTTGAATGTTTCAGGGTTACGTCTTCTACTCGACGTTCACCAGGATGATTACATGCCAACAACAGAAGCGGCGGGTGTACGCATTGTGGTTCATGAACAGGTATTTCTATAACAATTTCAAAGAAAAAGCTTCAGAATGACTACTTATAACACTTCACGGGGTAAGGGTAGCAGTTTACATACCCGTTGTCATGACCCGTACCAGCATGGTTTTTGCATTGAGTGATTGTGTTCCGAGCTATACCCATAATCTGAATACCTAAATAGGGCCTTTTTGTGAAGAAAAGTTTTCCTGCAGCATGACAAGATATCTGAAGGCCCATCAAGGCAAACGTGACAAGCACATTACGGATGGTCTCAGGACTTCTGTCAACCGTGAGGCTTGGCGGTTCAGCGTTTTGTAGTGATGTCTGGGAGCTCTCACAAGTGCACACTATCACAGCATCTCCTCTTTCTTTATCTCCTTCAAAAGGCTTAGTCCCAATAAGACACAAAGTGTGTGCTTTTCCAGCTACGCTCTCACCCTTTGGTTGACAGAAGCCTTGTAACCATGACGGATCTCACACGTACTACTAGAGAAAAGAAATTAATGATCAGTTGGATTGAAAGGCACAACTTCATTCACACATCTTGCTAGTCATGGTTTCGAATTAGGCTGCTCAGATTACGTGGTCTCATCAGTACTACCTCCTCTATAATTTGGATTCAAATGGGAACGTTTCGGTACTTTCCATTTTATCGCGCGATAACGCGAAAGAATGCAAGTATCAGGAGGTGACGAATCGTGCACGTATTTACAGGAAAAATATTTACTTGAGTCATACGCGCGCGGTCGGAGGATCAAATCCTGGATCGTGTGCCGTCCAGGCCAGTCAAGCCTTCCATTTTCCGGGGCCAAATGGTACCGGAAGAATGGAAACTTGGTTGGCCTGGGAAGACGAAGAAGAATCCTGTGCGATCGTTATGATGGGATGACCGAAACGAACAAACGTTAACAACGATAATACTAAAACACAGATGATAAAAACCGCAGCGATTCATTACTAGCAATGAGAAAGCCAAGTGTATAGATCGAAGGCCAATTCACCGGCAGTGCGGCGCGGTTAATCCGTGGGTCAGATTTGAAGACGCTGGAATTTTTATGCGAGTTTTTGCCACTTAAAAGGCAATATCTCTCTAATCTCGTAAGATCTTGAAAAAAGATAGACAGTTTGGAAAGAGGAAGGTTTGCGCTTCCTAACAGCATGTTTAGTTTTCTTCTACATGGGTTAATAAAAACAGGGATAATTGCCTTAAGATTTTTGCCGTTGATCCCGTCTTCCCGTCAATCCCGTTTTGGGATGCGGCACGCATTCTACTTCCATTTGTACATTCGTAGTGGCGTTTGAATGCGATGTGGCCTATACAATGACTTGCGGGGGCCAGCCGATGTACAAGTCAGTGTTTTTATCCTCCCAGACAAGTCTGGTACCAATTAACCGACCCCGGAGGGATGGAAGGCTTGGTTGGCCCGGGCGACTCACGACCCAGGATTTGATCCCCGGACCGCTCGCGTGGTAAGCGTGCCACTTGCCACTACACCACTTCCGCCCTGTTTATCTACATGGGTTGGAGAGATGTATTTGCGTCGAGTATCTATCGAGGACGGATCTGGCCACCTAAAAAGCCGCTCCCTTCTTCACCATTGCAAGTTTAATTTGTTGGCAACTCTCGAAATGTGTCTAGAATACGTTTTCCTTTGTAAGCGAAATAAGAGGGCAGTTGCTTGATTTCGTCTCGGTATAGGCCATGCATCCGACCTCCACTCAAAGTTGCAGAATCGATTGAAGGTGTTATATGATCATGACCAGTTGACAGAAGCTGCATTGTAGTAAACACATTTCGTAACTCCTATAACCTAAGGAACAGCTTCATTTGCCCAGGGCCTTTCCTTCACGGTTGTCGTTTTTGCGACAGCGTCCCTAACAACAGTGTCATTCTCAACGAGGTATTAAGGGAGAGGGAGCGTGCCTTTGCAGAAGTATGCACATGTGGCCCTGTTCCTTGCGGAGATGCACTTTCATTCTTTGTACTGCTTTCAAATACGCCCTTCTCATAAAGGTAGAGGAATGGAGCGACTGAACCTGCAAAGAATAATTTTATATCATGTTTTTCACATATCTTCGTTTTCTGCTGCGCTACACCCTCTTACTCCTATCTGCACCACGATACCACTGATGTTACTGACCCCACGAGTACGACCCCCCATGACCCAGCCTGACAATACGACCCCTGTCGAGGATTTCCTCGACCGATATTCACCCTGCTGATAAGTGATTCGTGAGAGTTCAGTAGATAAAGAGTTAGGGCATGAAAAACAAGGCAGCCTAGACAAACCTCATCATCTGGAATTCCTTGAAAAATAGTACATTGTGTGTACGAGTTTCAGGATCAGGAACCGTTTCCGGACACTTTCGGGTACAGTGCACCAACAGGATTCGTGTCATCGTTTGGACTGAAAACGGCAAGTTTTTTTTTCTGCACGCTTACTTTGAACAGTTGCAGAGGATCCTCGATTACACTTTAATGAAGGCATATTCAATTTTTCGTACTATTCCTACTTGACTGCAATGCGCATGGATTATGCATCTCATCTACCTTTCATGCTCTCTTTTGACGTTCTAAGGTAATGATGTCTTTGTAGCGAAAATACAGAGGAAAATTATCTCGCGGCTTGCAATAACAGGCTCACTCCTGCTCTACAGGGGGCGGAGGGGCATAGAAAAGGCATTTTACGCATGTCGTCTTTAGCGTTTTTCGTTCGCAGAGATTGCCGTCGTTGACGGAAGTTCCTCAGCAAAATATTCCCTAAATGTCCCTCTATAAGTAGACGCAGGCCCTCCTTCACTGCCCTCACCGTCTTCAGAATATGACGTCATCTGTCATCGTCGTCGAGCTCAAGAAGACCTACTTTGACTGCTCTGACCTGGAGTTCTGACATAATTTTCCACTCCGAAATTTATGAAAGGGGTTAGCTTCAGATCTGTTTTGAACAGTTGCATCAGTACTAGCCATCTGCAATCTCTGCAAGTGCAGCTCCACATATGAAATTAACAAGGGCCCCAGGAGAAACGATGAATGTGAAATATATGCACATGCTAACACAAAGCTGCACAAGCTGCACAAGCTAAGCACACCGTAGATTCGAAATGTCTACCTAACTAACGTTATTAGGCGGCCAAAGCAGCTCTTTCTATTCGAAAAACTCGTCTGGTTACGCACGTGCAAAAGTCTCCACAATTCCTTGAACAGATTCACTGCTGGATAATTAAGTAGAGGCATTAGCTTTGGACATGCTAACCTCTTTAGAGAAAACATCGTAATGGTACAGGAACTGCCGAGGAACCATTGAGCTCGACCAGCGCCCCATCTTCAATGGAAAATTTTCCTGATGCCGTGCAAGTACAATAGAAGACTTCTATGAATTTTTTTTCCGTGAAATAGAATGTGCTCTTCTGTTTCAAGCCAAAGTCATTCGGTTTGGATTTGGCAAAGTGTGATCAAATCAATTTGAATGTGAAGACAAAATGTCTTTTTTTGTTGTTCTCCCCCTGTAAATTCCCGAAAGCTATTATCTTATTTCTCAATTGCATCATCTTGGTCGGTCCATGCAGTAAATTCAAGGCACTGCCACATCGAGCCACCTAACCGATTAGATCACTATCACCATTAGATCAGCACAATTAATGCTGTTGTGTTCGGCTCTCTTCTTCTTCTT